GGGGGAGAGACAGAGTGAGGGGGAGGAGACAGAGTGAGAGGGGGGAGACAGAGTGAGAGGGGGGAGACAGAGTGAGGAGCTGGGGACTGATTGAGGGGCGGGAGACAGAGAGAAACTGGGGGAATGAGTAGAGGGAGACTCTGAGAGTAGGTTGGGGAGGTACAGAGAGACTGGGCTGAAACAAAGACTAACCTGTTGGGTCAGGATGGGAGTTTGGGCTAGAACAGTACACGACATTTACTGAGCCCCACACCAACAAAAAGAGATTCCTGACCTTCTTCCAACCTGAGAGTCTGGCACCACTTCGACACTCCTCAATGCTGTGACCTTCCGACAATCCCCCACCACCCATCTCAGCGCTTGAGCCCCTCCCCGCCTCCCCAACGCTCTGTCTCCTCCTCCCGCGCTCTGTCCCTCCACCTCCCCATCCCTCTGCTCCCACACCAGTGCCCCTCACAATCATGGCAGTCACTCCCTGCTTACTGAAGAGGTTTCTCTCCCGTGTGAATCCTTCTGTGTACCACCAGGTTCTTGTCAGTTTTAAAGGCTCGGCCACAGAACTCACAGATATAATTGCGCTGATCTGCAAACAGACAAAGACTGAGGTGAGCATTTGACTCCGACAGACAGGACACAGCAGAGGGAGGGCTGGGGACTGTACGAGGTGTAGGGACAGGGGGGAGCAGGCAAGGACATGCCCCATCACCTTTCGGAGTCGGGTCTCCTGCCAAAGGGAACTCTCTCTCTCATTTACGCGTCTTGCAGAGGGAACGAAAGCTCAGGCCAATCTGGAGACAACAGCAGTCCCTCGCTGAGCAAGGGTTACAAACCACTGCGCAGAGACTCACAGAAACGTGAGAAATTCTTGGGTGTTGTGGCTGGGGGGAGGTGTGGTCAAGGAGCCTGCACGGCATACCAACGGCTGAGGAGGTGCATCAGCGCTGAGGGAGCGCCGCACTGTCGGAGGGTCAGTGCTGAGGGAGTGCCGCACTGTCGGAGGGTCAGTGCTGAGGGAGTGGACACTGTCGGAGGGTCAGCGCTGAGGGAGCGCCGCACTGTCGGAGGGTCAGTAGTGAGGGAGTGCCGCATTGTCGGAGGGTCAGTACTGAGGGAACGCCGCACTGTCGGAGGGTCAGTGCTGAGGGAGTGGACACTGTCGAAGGGTCAGCGCTGAGGGAGCGCTGCACTGTCGGAGGGTCACTACTGAGGGAGTGCCGCACTGTCGGAGGATCAGTACTGAGGGAACGCTGCACTGTTGGAAGGTCAGTACTGAGGGAACGCCGCACTGTCGGAGGGTCAGTACTGAGGGAGTGCGGCACTGTCGGAGGGTCAGAACTGAGGGAGTGCCGCACTGTCAGAGGGTCAGTGCTGAGGGAGCGGGCACTGTCGGAGGGTCAGTACTGAGGGAGCGCTGCACTGTCACCAGAATTATCAAAGTGATGGAGCAACATGGTAGTGGTTGATTCCGAACGGAGCTCGAGGGAACAAGCTCCCCCCGTGGAAGCTGCAATGATAGAAGAGACACTCACCGCTGTGCAATTTCTCATGATCCTCCATCTGTGTTTTGAAGCGGAAGATACGACCACAGCTTGGGTAGGAGCAGGCAAAGGTTCGGTGCAACATGTGCTGATACTTCATGTGGCGCTAGAACAACAGGAAAACACAAGGTGAGGACATGAGTGGCAGGGCGTGGAGGGTGTGTGGGGCCCAGAGGGTGTGGGGCGGAAGGGGCGGGGTTCGGAGGATGTGGGGCCAGCTGCCACAGGGCGTGAGTTGGACTGAGTCCAGAGGGTGTGGTGGGGGGCACAGTTTTGAGGGCGTGGGGGTTGGGGGAGTAGTCCACTGGGCGTGGGAGTGGGGTCCAGAGGACATGGGTGGGACGGGGTCTGGAGGGCGTGGGAGGGGGTGTGTGCAGTGTCCGGAGGGCGTGGGGACGGTCACCTGATTACTCACCTTCAAATACTGAGGATTAGAGACAATTTTGCCACATCCTTCAAACTCACAGCGAACGTACTGCTTCTGAATCTTCTTCCTGGCTCAGAGCAAAAGAGAGAAACAGAAAGAGGGAGGGGGAGAGACAGAGAGAGAAAGAAAATGAGGCCAGGAGTAGTGGTGCAGGAAAACAGGGAGAGAAGGGTGAGGGAAACCCAGGGGAAAGGAAGGAAGTGGTGCACAGAGAGAGAGAGAGCAGGAGGTGGGGGGGCACAATATGGTGGTGGTAGTGGGGGGAGAGTGCAAACCACACAGAGGGGGAGAGGGGGAGAGACAGAGACAGAGACAGAGAGAGAGAGAGAGAGAGAGACAGTGAGAGAGAGAGAGAGAGACAGAGAGACAGGGGGAGAGGGAGAGGGAGAGGGAGAGAGGGAGAGAGGGAGAGACAGCCACGCATTGGGAGGGGGAGAGGGAGATGAGAGATGGGGGAAGGTGTATGGGGGGACAGGTGAGAGATAGAGAGGAGGAGGAAGACATACAGAGTTGGTAGGAGCGGGGAGAGAGAGAGGAGGGAAGCCATACAGGGAGTGGGCAAACAGTGACAGTGGAAGGGGGAGTGAGAGGTAACCGAGGAGGAGGAGGGGGGTGGGTAGGGTGAATGAAGATGTAGAAAACGGTGAAGGGCAGCGAGCGATACACAGTGGGGAGAGATGCACAGAAGGATGGGGTGAGAGAGACAAAGAGAGACGCAGAATGAAAACACGGCCATCTCGACTATAAAACAAGCTTTCTCGGTCCATCACAAGAGCACTGGGCTACGTACCGAGTGTGCACTACAGCTACTCACAGCTACAACAACAGCACCTCGCAAAAGTGCCATCACTTCCAGCTGGAAGGACAGCAGATACCCACTTCGAAGCTCCCCTCCATTCCACTCACCACCCTGACTTGGAAACAATATCGCCACTGGCTGAGTAATTATCCCGGACTCGCATCCCTAAGGAAACTGAGAGTCTCCGTATACCCCAAAGATTGCAGCCAGCCTCTAGGCCGAAGCTCACCACCCTCTCCAGGGCAATTAAGGACGGACATTGACGCTGGCCTGAAATAAAACCCCAAAGGAAAGTGTCCCCTATTGCTAGAAGCAAATGGATTATCGCAATTTCCAACTGTTCCGGGGAGCGTATGTGCACTGAGAAACATCAGAGCATAACATCGAGGAGCACAATTAGGCCCTTCGGCCCATCAAGTCTGCTCGCCATTCGATCACGGCTGATTTGTTTTTCAATCCCATTCTCCTAGCTTCTCCCCGTAACATTGGATCCCCTTGCTCAGCAGGAATCTAGCTCCAGTTGAGGAACTTCCTCCTCCTCCTCAACTCAGTTCCCAAGCATAGACCCTTCACCCTGAGGCGGAAACACCTTCTCTACATCCACTCTCCCCAGGCCTCTCCGTAAGTTCCAGTCCCGCTCCCACCTGCCTACACTCACAACACCATTTGGGACAATCCCTGGCTCAGGGTGGGGGAGCGGGGGGAGCGGGGATGACGTGGTTACCTTGTCCACATCAGGGTTGAACATGCGACAAAAAAAAAAGACAAGTCACTGCAGACTTCATGAGGGAGGTTAGGGATCAGCAGTGATTGTGCCCGGGTCACAAGACCAGAGGGTCGGCAGCAGCGGGAGCTCTCCCCCTTTCCTGGAGCGTCGGGAGCTGTCCCCCTTTCCCGGAGCGTCCGGAGCTCTCCCCCTTTCCCGGAGCGTCGGAAGCAGCAGTAGCTATCCCCTTCTACAGCGGCTGCATTGCCGAGATGGGCCCAGCTCAAGCTCGTGGCAGCGAAACAGCGCCATAGAATGGCAGCACAGATTGAGCAGCTACAGCATGCGGGGACTCGGGGAACACCCGAGTGTTCACAGGCTGAGGGATGGACTTTGTGACTTTGTTTTTTTTCTGGCAGCGAGGACTCATGTCAGAGGCAGGGGGAGGGAGCTGGACGTTTCCTTTCTGCTGTTTTAACCCTGTGTCGTATAACTAGGATGACGACAAGTATAGCAGCTTTCTACACTTTTCCTGTACTCTAGTACACATGACAATTAAATCCAAACCTAAATCTAGGTGCAGGACAGCTTTCCCTTTTCCTTTTGTGCTGCCCCTGATCTCCCTTGTCAGCCACTGTTGTCTCGTCCTCCCCTTCGTCTGTTTCTTCTTCCTTGGGATGAATTCCTGCTGCGTCCCCCTGAATTAACCCAGAAACTCCTGCCCTTGCTGCTCCACCATTTTCCCGGCTAGGCTCCCCTTCTGAGTCAACTCAGGCCGGTTCCTCCCTCACGTCTTTGGAGTTCCCTTCACTCAAGTGTAATGCTGCTACATCTGAGCGCAGCTTCTCCCTCTCAAACTGCAGGGTAAATTCTATCGTGCTACTGTCCCTGCCCCCCCTCCAAGGAGTTCCTCCACGTTCAGCCCCCTGATCAACTCTGCCTCATTCGCACGTCACCAACTCCAGATCTGCCTGCTCCCTACTGGCCTGCACCACCAGCTCATCTCTTACGCATTCCACGAGTTCTATTTCTTGGCACCTGTGATAACCTGAATTTCCCAGCCCCCCTGCTTATTGAAGACACCCACCCCGATTACTGTAACAGTACCTTTCTTTCGTCCCTTCTCAATCTCCTCATTCATTTTCTGCTCCCCCCACGGACAACCTGGTCCTGACTCCTGCTCAGAGGCCTGTACACAGCTCCCATCAGGGTCTCTCTTCCTTTGCGGTTCTTCGTCTCTACCCCCTCACAGATTGTACACTTTCCGACCCCGTATCGCCCTGAGCTGTCGATTTAATTTCATTTCTTATTCAGAAGGCAGCTCCCACCCCACCTCTGCCTGTCGTTTCGATGGGACAGTGGGATATTTAGTTCCCAGCCCTGATCCCCTTGCAGCCTTGTCTCGGCGATTCCCACGACGTCGTACCCAGCGCCACAAGCTCCTTTACCTTGTTTCGTATCCTGTGTGTATTTAATTACATCTCCCTCAATCTCGTACTGACTGCTCCCCTTTCCCATAGCTGTCCCCTGACCTGCTGTGCCTGACGTTCGATTCCTGACCCTTTTCCATTCTCTCGGCCCCACTCCTTGTTCTGCAAACTTTAATAATCTCCGCTGGGATATTCCCCATAATTTTCCATGCAACGAAATCCACTCTGGACCCGGTCAGTTCAAAGCCCCATTTGGGAGCTCCATTGCCCGGGGGGGGGATACCAAACGAACCCACCCCCACCCAGGGGAACACACAGAGAAAACCCACCTCCACCCTTGCCCAGGGGAACACACCGAGACACCCCACACCCCCAACCCGCCCAGGGGAACACACCGAGAACCCCCACCCCCAACCCCACCCTCGCCCAGGGGAACACACCGAGAAACCCCACCCCCACCCTCGCCCAGGGGAACACACCGAGACAGCTACCCCCCTGACCCCCAACCTGCCCAGGGGCACACGTTGAGACACTCCCTCCCCCCCCACTCTGCCCACAGGTACTCTCTCTGGAAACTCCACCCCACCCCTCTCTGCTGTCTTTGCCCAACTCTCACCGGATTTTCTTTGGCTGTTCGCTTGGATCTCGCTTGCCACGACGTTTCGGAGGCTTCCTGCGGATGGGAAAACAGGTGAACGGTGTACCAGGAGTGCCAACGGCAAGAAACGGGGTTGATACTGTGGAACGGGCAGGGAATGCCGGGCAGCGGGTGGACCTGGAAGACGGATGGATGGATGGTTTGCCACGTTGGCTGTGCGGAGAGAGACCCAACACTTCCTCCAATGTGATGGGAAAAGTCCCCGTGCCATCCGGACTACCGTCCTGTTCCATACAGGCAAACAAACACTGCTTTGCAGGTGCAAATCCAGGAGTTACTGTCTCACCGACATTCTGTGTTAATTAAAGGGGCTGGTGACATTATCCAACGGCCGTGTTTCATATCGAATTATCGCTACCTGGTGACAGGCTCTTCAGGTGGTTTCTTTGTACTGTTCCTGCGAGGTCTCCCCCTCCTTTTCTCTCGGTCTGAACCGCTGGGGAATAAAATCAGTACAACCGGGTCAGCTCCGGGCAAAGGAGAGAAAACAACACAGTCCGCCACACACAGGGAGTGCCCTGTAACTGCCCAAACACTCAGGGACACGTTTGGAATGTACAGTCACAACAGAGCGCGTGGTTTAGTAATAATAGACCCACAGAACCCCCTACAGTGTGGAAACAGGCCCTTCGGCCCAACAAGTCCACACCAACCCTCACAGGATCCCACCCTGACCCATTCCCTCATAACCCACAAAATCTACACGTCCCTGGGCACTACGGGACAATTTAGCACGGCCAATCCACCCTAACCTGCACATCCCTGGGCACTATGTTACAATTTAGCACGGCCAATCCACCCTAACCTGCACATCCCTGGGCACTATGTTACAATTTGGCACGGCCAATCCACCCTAACCTGCACATCCCTGGGCACTACGGGACAATTTAGCATGGCCAATCCACCCTAACCTGCACATCCCTGGGCACTATCGGACAATTTAGCACAGCCAATCCACCCTAACCTGCACATCCCTGGGCACTATGTTACAATTTGGCACGGCCAACCCACCCTAACCTACACATCCCTGGGCACTACGGGACAATTCAGCACAGCCAATCCACCCTAACCTGCACATTCCTGGGCACTATGGGACAATTTAGCATGGCCAACCCACCCTAACCTGCACATCCCTGGGCACTATGGGACAATTTAGCATGGCCAACCCACCCTAACCTGCACATCCCTGGGCACTATGGGACAATTTAGCACGGCCAATCCACCCTAACCTGCATGTCCCTGAGCACTATGGGACAATTTAGCATGGCCAACCCACCCTAACCGGCACATCCCTGGGCACTATGGAACAATTTAGCATGGCCAACCCACCCTAACCTGCACATCTTTGGACTGTGGGAGGAAACCGGGAGCACCTGGAGGAAACCCACGCAGACACGGAGAGAATGTGCAAATTCCACACAGACAGTCGCCCGAGGGTGGGATCGAACCCGGGTCCCTGGTGCTACCCGCTGAATGACGACTGGAACAGGCAGTCCCATTAAGCAGTAAGATGTCTGTGTATGCAGGCAGAATTCCAAAACAAACAATCCACAGTATTAGGACGAAACATGCGGGAATCGTTCAGGGGCATGTCAGGGGATCGGAGTCAAACAGTCCAGGCAGATAGGAGCAACAACTACCCACTGACTGAACAAGTGACCTTGGGGACCATGCAGGGTCAGGACCAAGACCAAATCCTGTTCGGATACAGGAGCAACAGCCCGGATCCGTAAGGACATTTCCGGAATAGCCCAGAGACGGAGCAAGGCTTCAGGGATTTGGAAACATGAGTAGGGTTCAGGATCTTCCGGAATGATGGCCAGTGTTCGGGGAATCATTTAGGTATACAGTGGGTGCACAGGAACATCCTGCATACTCAGGCAGAGGTCAGGAAGGGTCTGGAGGTACAGAACATTTTCAGTACAAGATCTCAATCCCAGCGTTGAGTCTGCTCAGTGGAGTGTTTGGGATCACACGGGTGGCAGAACGCTGAGGGACCTACCTTTCCGACGAGGGAATATAGTTTTCATCCTTGGGATCATCGAAGAATTGATATTCATCATCAGAATCCATTTCAGTCAACAGCTCCTCATCCTCTTCACTATCATTGTCACTGTGAGAAACAGGAAGCACGGGATAGTGAGAGAGAGAGAGAGAGAGAGACAGAGACAGAGAGAAGAGGCAGAGACACAGACAGAGACACAGACACAGACAGAGAGAAGAGACACAGACAGAAAGAGAGAGACATAGACAGAGAGAGAGAGAGACAGACAGAGAGACAGACAGAGACAGACAGAGAGAGACAGACAGAGACAGAGACAGAGACAGACAGAGACAGAGACAGAGACAGAGACAGAGACAGAGAGAGAGAGAGAGAGAGGCAGAGAGAGAGAGAGACAGAGGCAAAGAGAGAGAGAGGAGAGAGAGACACACACAGACAGAAAGAGAGAGACAGAGAGAGAGAGAGAGTCAGAGACAGAGAGAGAAACAGAGACAGAGAGAGAGACAGAGAGAGAGAGACAGACAGGGAGGGGAATTGAGGGGAGAGATGGAGTCAGCGGAAGGGGAGAGAGAAGGGGGAGAGGCATCCGATAGAATATGGTGAGGTGGTATTGGGGGAGCAAGAGAGACAGCAGCGAGTGAGAGTAAACACGATTCAACAATTGTTCATCGAAGTCATTTGCAACAATGCCAAGGTAGAGTCGGTACGTGGATAAAAATATTAGGCATCACATTTAAACTTGTTGAGTACATAACGATTAACTTAAGTGCCTCAGATCACCTAACTAATACCATTCCAATTCAATCCACTGTCTCCAAATCCACACACTCCCAGTTTTATTCCTCTCTGAGCAAGAACAGTATCAAATGCACTAGCCAGAGAAATCTGAATGACAGACCAACAATAAAACTCAGTCAGAATGGGAGCACTGGTGGAGAGGAGTTGCTGAAAGGGGACAGCACTGACACATGATCTCCGATTCTCTCCCCAGATTCGGGCTGGCTTGATGAGCCAGAAACGCGAGCGCAAACCCTCCCAACTCCCAGCTTAGACCATGTAAAAGGAGAAGGGCAGTGGATACACTGGACCACCAGCTTCATCCACCAATAGGTCACCAACCACCCAGCTTTGGAGCAGGAGGACTGTTTCTTCACTGTATTACACAGCGAATGGATGTCAGAAGGCTGGCTGGAAGTCAGATGGACATGGGGTTGGCTGGGGGATAGGGGGGAGTGGGGAGCAGGCAGATGCGTTTGCGGAAAATGGCAGATGGGCCAGTGTGAGGTGATGTGTTTTGGGAGGTCAAATGCAAGAGTCAAGTGTAGAGTAAATGGCAGGACCATAAGGAGTGTGGATGTACAGAGGGATCTGGGAGGTGCAGTTCCCTGAAAGTCACAACACAAGTGGATATGGTGGCAAAGGCTGCATTTGGCATGCTGGCCTTCACCAGTCAACGCATCGATTATAGGCGTTGGCAAGTCACGTTGCAGCTGTGCAGAACTTTTGTCAGGCCCCGTTTGGAGGATTAAATGCAAAGGTTTCCCAGGATGTTGCCTCAGTCAGAGTGCTACAGCTAGGAGGGGTTTGAACAAACTTTTCTTGGATCATTTTCATTAGAGCGTCTGAGATTGAGGGGCAACCTGATAGAAGTATCTAAAATTAAGAGGAGGCATGGATAGTCAACAGTCTTTGTCCCCCAGGGTGGAAATGTCTAATACGAGGGGGTGAGGGGCGCAATAGGTTTGAGGTGAGAGGGGGAAAAGTTCAAAGGAGATGTGCGAAGTCAGATTTCTTTTTACACAGAGGGTACCTGGAACGTGCTGCCAGGGGAGGCAGTAGAATCAGATACAACAGCGATGTTCAAGAGGCATACAGACAGACACATGGATAGGCAGGGAACACAGGAATATGTGCCACGTGCAGGCAGATGGGATTAGATTAGAATGGCATCATGGTCAGCACAGACAGGGTGGGCCGAAGGGCCTGTTCCTGTGCCATGCTGGTTTAAGTCTGAATGGATATCGGGGGTGGGGAGTCGCCGTGGGAGGGGGGGGTGCACTGATGAAATGTGGGGAAGTGGGTGAGCTGTCCAAATGGATGCCAGGTGCATTTCCTTCTGAAGGCGACACTTGGATTTTTGTTTTTTTCAATGGAACCCTGGGAAGTACGATATCGAAAACGATCTAAACATGTGCTGCGCCTTACGTGCTGAACATCACCCCAGAAACAACGCACCTGGACGTAACACGGGAAGATCTTGAGATCTCACCTAGTCAACAAGAGCTCAGTCTCTGCAACTTGCATCTCTGACTCCTGAGAACCTGCAAGCAGAGGGAGACAGAGAAAGAGAGAGAGAGAGAGACAGAGAGAGGAGAGCTGCAGGATTGGACAACGCAAGACAAACTCTTCCACGCAGCAACTCTTCGACACCCTGCAAATCCATCTTAGGAGACGGGTTCCCACCTTCCCCAAATATTCCATCATGCCCCCAGCAGTCAGAACGATGCTGAGGTACTGCCCCCCCCACCCCCACACACACACAAACCACCCTGACTCCTCTCGCACAAACACAAAGAATCTCTTCCACCTACACCTACACCCACACACGCAATCCCTGTTACACTCTCACAGACACACACACACACCCATTGACAATCATCACACTCCCATACGCAGTCACACACACACACGCATGCGCGCGCACACACACAGTCTCTCACAAACATTCGCTCTCTTTAGTTTTGTACGAAATGGCAGGTAAGGGACCAGATTTGGAACAATGTAGTTCATAGAATCACTACATTGTGGAAGCAAGCCTTTCAGCCCATCACGTCAACACCGACCCTCTGAAGAGCATCCCACCTTCCCAACCCCGCTCCCGCATCCTACTCCTGTAACCCTGCATTTCTCATGGCAAATCCACCAAAGCTGCATTTCCCTGGACACTATGGGACAATTTAGCACGGCCAACCCACCCTAACCTGCACATCCCTGGGCGCTATGGGACAATTTAGCACGGCCAATCCACCCTAACCTGCACATCCCTGGGCACTATGGGACAATTTAGCACGGCCAATCCACCCTAACCTGCACATCCCTGATCACTACGGGCAATTTAGCATGGCCAATCCACCCTAACCTGCACATCTTTGGACTGTGGGAGGAAACCGGAGCACCCAGAGGAAACGCACGCAGACACGGGGAGAACGTTCAAACTCCACACAGACAGTCACCCGAGGGTGGGATTGAACCCGGGTCCCTGGTGCTGTGAGGCAGCAGTGCCAACCACTGAGCCACGATGCCGCCCTTCAAAGACGAGAGACAATCAGAGAGTACAGACAAAGCAAAAATAATAAAAATGGAACACACCAAACAGAAAGGGATTGAGAATATTAACTGAAGCGTGAAATAACAGATAAAGCTACAGGTTACATTTCTGATGAAAGGTCTAGGCCCGAAACGTAAGCCTTTCTGCTCCTATGATGCTGCTTGGCCTGCTGTGTTCATCCAGCCCTGCACCTTGTTGTCTCGGATTCTCCAGCATCTGCAGTTCCTACTATCTCAGGTTACAATAACAATGCCAGAGGAAGTGGTGGATGGGGACACAGTTACAATATTTAAAAGACATCTGGATAAGTACAGATCCTGCCCCCAACTCAGAAACCAGGCAGGTAGGGCAGAGTATCAAAACACCCAGAGCTTGTCAGACGCGTATAGTAACTATCATGGGGAGGGTGAAAGATTAGCGGAGGTATGCAGGAATGTGGAGTCGTGGTTGTACTCAGATCAGCCATGAATGGATCAGCAGGTTGTGGGCCGAATGGGCTCCGGGTTGGTGCCAAGTAGCACCAGTAGTAGAACGCAGTACGTTCACTGCAGCAAGCAAAACCGCCCTCTCTCTCTCTCTACTTGTATGTTATTTCTTTTCCAACTAAAGAAACAGCAAACAGGAGGACAATTTCTAAGTCAAGACCCAAGTCTGACCAACCGGTGAATGAATGAAGGATGACCTCAGCTGACGTGACATCATCGCCGAGAATGATGAACAGTTTGGGAGAATGTCCCCTCATTTCCTCTTTTGATTTGAACTCAAGAGCTGAGACTTTGTGCTTGTTTTTTGCTGCCATTTTTCACCCCGCTAATATTCCTGAAAATACCGTTTGTCTCATCCATCTGTCTATCACATGTGATAGAAGCGCGTTTCCATTCATTTACAAGCGGTATAGCTTAAATTTGCACATTAGTCATCAATATGCTGTTTGCCGTGTTAGGGGATAAGTTCATTCTAATAACCAAGTTCTCACTTTCCTGTTCATTGATGAAGCCTGGAGAGTTTCTTTTCTGATTATGGTGTTCAGCACACTTGCCTTCATTGCTCAGACCTTTTTGAGTGTAGGAGTTGGGACGTCATGTTGAGGTTGTACAGGACGTTGGTGAGGCCTCTTCTGGAGCACGGTGTCCAGTTCTGGTCACCCCATTATAAGAAGGATATTATTACGTTGAAGAGGTTTGAAAAAGAGATTTACCAGGATGTTGCTGGAACTGGAGGGCTTGAGTTACAAGGACAGGCTGGATAGGCTGGGACTTTATTCACTGAAGCCCAGGAGATTCAGGGGTGACCTTATTGAGGTTTATAAAATCTTGAGGGGTACAAATAAGATGAATAGAAGGGTGGGGAAATTTCAAGACCAGGGGGCATATTTTTAAGGAGAGAGGGGAAAGATTTAAAAAAAAACACGAGGGGCAATTTTTTTTTAAACACAGAGAGTGGTTTGTGTGTTGAATGAACTTCCTGAGGAAGCGGTGGATGTGGGTACAGTTACAACGTTTAAAAGACATTTGGATAAGTACATGAATAAGAAAGGTTTCGAGGGATATGAGCCAGGAGTGGGCAGGTAGGACTGGTTTTGTTTGGGAACATGGTTGGCATGGGCTGGTTGGGCCGAAGGGTCTGTTTCCGTGCTATAAGACTCTAAGACTCTTATTGTCAGACCTAAAGTATCCGAGAGATTATGGTTATATCTCACATTTGTAATGACTCCGGAGTTTTAAGCACACGCTTCCCAGCAGGACTGTAATAGATCAGATCTAAGCTCTGCAGTCCCGTGGCTACGGTGGGCAATTAAACAAGAAACAGGAGGCGATGCCAGGCCATCATCAACAAGGCTTACGTGGGGAGTGTGATGGAATACTCCCCAGTGCCTTCTTCAGTGCAGTTACATCGCCACGGAAGGAGACTCACACCATTAAGGGCAAGGCAGAGCGCTGGAGTGGTACCACTACCTCGTACGCAAACCCTCTCCACCACCGAGGCTCAGTAGTAGGAGTGTGTATGCCCCCTGCAAGATGGACTGCAGAAATTCACCAAGGCTCCTTACCCAGCACCTTCCAAACCCTGGCACCAAGGAGGACAACAGCAGCAGACACATGGGAACACACTCCCTGCAAGATCCCCCTCCAAGTCCCTCACCATCTTGGCTTGGAAACGCATCACCCAATCCTTCAGAGTCAGCAGATCAAAATCCCCAGAACTCCCTCCCGAATGGCATTGAGAGCGCCCTCACACTCCCACAACTGCAGTCGCTCAAGAAAGCAGTTCGTTATCTCCTTCTCTAGGGAAACGAGGAACAGGCAATTAACGCAGGCCCGGCCAGAAAAACCCTTTTTTGTTTTTACTGGCGCCAGGGAAATGTAGCTATCCAGCGGCAAAGGTGAAAGCAGCAGTTTGATACTGAATGGAGACGAGAGGAAGAATTGCAGACAGACCTGCAACAAGCGAAATCTCTCTCATCCTCTCTCTATCTGTGTGTTGTTGCTTTTCCAATTAAGACAAGAAAGATCTGACAAGGAAGGAAGAACACTAATGCAATCCAAGACCTAAGTCCCAACTGATCAGCTTCTGAATGCAAAAAATGAAAAAGGAAATGTATGAAAATATCAGAAGGTTGGACAAAAAAATTAGACACAGCAAAAAATCTCTGAAAAAAAAAACTTAACAAAGGAGGGAAAAATAGGATACAAGACGAAGCGAGCTAGAAATATAAAAATTTGTTCAGAGTTGCTGTGGATATGAAAATCAGAAGTTAGTACTGATCCAAGTGAAAGTCAGAATAATTAACAATGGAAAACAAGGAGAGTGCAGATGAATAAAACGGGTTTTTACACGCTGGTCTTCATTACACAGGGTAGGAGTAGTATGCCTGCAGTGGCTATAAATCATGGAACGGAAGTTTGCTGCGAGCAAACTTACAAACTCAAGGAAAGCGATACTGAGAAAAATGTTGCAAGTAGTTGGCTGACCAGTCCCGGGGTCTTTCAAAAAGAAATGGTGAGCGAGCTAGCGGATAGGTGCGTGTCCCAAAATTCCCTCAATTTGGGAAGACTCTATGAATTGTGAAAACAAAGACGGCCGCTCCATTATTCAGAAAGGGAGGAGTCCGAAAGCTGGAAAACTGCAGGCCAGCGAACTTCCCTTTTCGCATCTCACCTTTGCGATGAGTGAGAGACGTCACAGCAGGGCACTGAGAAAAATTCAAGACCATCACACAAGCGACAACATAGCTCTGTGAGAAGGGAACCATGTTTCTAAGTGAATGTAACATGTGCTATGGATACAGGGGAAGTGGAGGATGTGCTTTATCCGGTTTTCCAGAAGGATAAGATGTCACATGTGGACAAAGAGAAGAAGTCAGGCTTCTTGGCCCTTCAGGATTGTTCTACAATTCAGTTCATTCAGGGCTGATTTGTCGTGATCTAAAGACCATATTCCCACCTAATCCTGATAACCTCCGATCCTCATTGGTTAACAGCATCAACCTACCTTAAAAATATTCATGGGCACAGAGCTGTACAGCACGGAAACAGACCCTTCAGTCCAACTCGTCCATGCTGACCAGATATCCTAAATTGATCTAGCCCCATTTGCCAGCATTTGGCCCATATCCCACTAAACCCTTCCTATTTTTGACATTTTGTGATGACTTCTAGAACAGCAGAGCTCTAGCAATGGGAACTTTTGGACTCAAGTTGGGTTGTGACAAATTGCACAAGTCAGTTCTAGAACAGACACGCTGCCCTTGACATATCTAGAAGATACATATGGTTCTCATCAGTTGTAAAAAACTGTTCCTGCTGATTCTAGACTAGACAGTCCCTTTCGACGCTCTCACAAGATGCGCAGACTCACACACACACACGCACACTCCCCCATCCCCCATCACCTACTTGTTGTTACTGCTACTCCTAGTATCTGGCATTTCCACAATCTCGTTAGATCCTCTTGCACAAATGCACACTTACGCACACACAAACTCAGAGACAGACACATACACGCATGCACATACGCACACACAAACTCATACACAGAGACATACACGCACGCATTTACGTGCACACAAACTCACAGACAGACACATACACGCACGCACTTACGTACACACAAACTCAGAGACAGGCACATATACGCATGCATTTCCACACACACAGACTCACAGACAGACACATACACGCACGCATCTACGTGCACACAAACTCACAGACACATACACACATGCACTTACGCACACACAAACACACACAGACACGCACTTACACACACACAAACACATACACACATGCACTTATGCACACACAAACTCACACATGGGCACATACACGCACGCACTTACACACACACAAACTCAGAGACAGACACATACACATACGTACTTACACGCACACATAAACTCAGAGACAGACACATACACATACGTACTTATGCACACATAAACTCAGAGACAGACACATACACGCACGCACTTATGCACACACAAACTCACACACAGGCACATACACGCACGCACTTACACGTACACAAACTCAAGAGACAGACACATACACATACGTACTTACACGCACACAAACTCACTCACAGACACATACACATACGCACTTACACGCACACAAACTCACACAC